AATATAAAGTGTTTGGAGAGAACTGTTAAATACAAACTATATCACGCATGATTTGACAGCTTTCAAGGAGTAAGAGATCTCTTTTAATAAGCGCTGCTTACGTGCTAGGTACTGTGCTAAATGTTTTAATACATTTGACGCCGTGTAGTGTACCCAATGAGGCTCACAAGTCTGTCCCTTTTCATAGAGAATGCTGCTCTGCCAAATGAGAAGCTTGTTTTTATTTCAGTTCCAAGAAAACAACTGCACATCATCCACACACCAATCAGACCTTGCACTCACGCAGTAAGGCCCAACTTGGTAAGTTTAGGGCAGTCATGCTGAGGAGGAAATTTCATGAAGGTGCTTTATTATTATTGTTTTAAAAGCGTTTCTCAAAAAACCTGTCATTGTTATAAACCCTCAGTATTTTGGTTAACTTCTCCAAGTTAATTGAAGCACTGCAGAGACAAACCAAATCTTGATTAACTTGAAACCTACATTTTGTTGAGTGCTGTTTTGCTATATATAGCATGTGGGTTTCTTGCAATGCTTGTAACTTGAATCTAGTCAAAACCTTTGTTTTTAATTATTATCATCCTTGTACGCAACTCCTGAGATGGAAGACTGCGGGAAACTCAAAGTAAGTCTAGTCTAAGTCGAAATGCCCCTGGGAATTGGCCTTTCCCAGGTAGTGCAAATTCACTCAGGCTGGGGCACCTGCGCATGCGCGAACGGGTCTACTGGCTCCGCCCACCTTCCCGGCCCTACGGGGCGACTGCGCACGCGCGGCGGTAAGTACTCGAGCGGTGGTGGGTCTGGTCCTTGTGGAGGGGTTTTAGGGTCCATTGTGGGACCTCTCGTTCTTCCTTCAGTGGAATGAGGGGGTCTGGTGGCAGGAGAGCTGAAGTCGAGTGGAGCAGCCCGGTTCCTGCTCTGGCGCCCAGGCTGGGTGCTGAGGGGAGCAGGGAGCGCGCAGGTCGGCGGCACGTGGGGCCCGGGGCGGGCGTCGCCCCTTTTCGGAAGTTCGTGATGCCGCGCGGGCGGCACTTTCCACTGGGCTCCCGGCCGTGAGGGCGGGCCGAAGCCGGGGGCCGAGTGCGGCTGCGCACGAGCGGGCGTTCGGCACCGAGGGCTGGGGCGGGGTTACGGAGCCCTGCTGGCCGTGCGGCTTGGGCGGTGGATCGTCGTCTCCGCTGTGGGCCGTTCGAGCCCACCCGCCGATCGGCGGGC